GGGTCAGGAGAGGTCTGCTGCGCCATGTGGATCTCCTCCAGGGCAGTAGGGGATTGAACTCATGCAGAAGTGGCTTAAGCTTCTTTGTGCTGTGCTTTAACCCGCTGCACCACCAGGGAGGGCCCTGTATCTTGTATTTTTTAATAGCACTTTCCCTCCCTTGATTCTGTAGAGACCTTATAGTTATTTTGATTTTATAAAAATAAAAATGTATCAAAGGCAGGTTAAGTCTCTTTTACTTTTCTGTTATAGTGGTGCTTGTTGAAAGATACTTAAACAGTTCTGAAGTATAAGAAGTGAAATTCCCCATTAGTTCATTTATGTAACATGTATATATTAGAAAATCATAGATAGCATGTGTCTACACTCCTGCTATCCAGAGGTAACCACTGTTAATGATTTCTTAGATACAGGGTGATATTAATTTACATTTTTTATAGTGTCATATCAAAAAATACATTGGTCTTTCGAGGTTTTCCTCTTGCAGGAGTCCAGGATGGACTCCTGCCTCCTAGTAACAGAACAAACTAGGCGATGCCAAATAAAGTTACTATTAATTTTTTTGGCACGTAACAGCTTGTTTTACTTCCAAGTTAACTGTCTTGTCTTGTTGCCTCATCTGATCTAAATCTTTACTCTGGTGGACAGAAATTCCTTTGTTTATGAGACAATGACATATACCCGAGGGCACACGATTTATCTTAGTTGGATTTAGTTCAGAAAAACCTAGTCAGGAAGCTACGTTATTATTATGGGAATGCATAAGGATCAGGATACGTTATCTTTCTCTTTAAAGAACAAAATGTAAGTCTGTTTTGCTGCTGGCATTTTCCAGTGGCACAGGGACTGGGCTCATTACTTAAGGTCCCACTTCATCCAGACCCTGCTCTAGACCTGCCAAGCTAGAATTTCTGGAGAGGAGACCTAGACATATTTGCTTTGAAAAAGTCCCCCCATTAGTGATGCTGATGGGCACCTCCAGAATTACTGACTTAAAGGTTATCTATGGTGCCTTATCTACACTAAAATGCGAGTGGTTCACCTGCCAAAGGAGTTTACTTTTGTTACTTTTTTTTTTTTTTTTTTTTTGTAGCATTAACAGTAGCAGTGTCTTCACTGTTCGGTTCTTCAGAACAACAGCTGTGTGCAGTAAGTACCTTCCTTTAGCTCCCTGCCTTCTTGGGAATGGAGTTGTAGTGGGGAGAGTAACAAATGACTGAGTTTAGTTAGAGAAAAAAAAATTAAAAAGGAAAATTATGGACTACATGTGATTTTCTTCTTTGCTCTTTTTCTAGAGGATGATGTGGTTACAGTCAAAACCCCAGCATTTGCAGAATCTGTCACAGAGGGGGATGTCAGGTGGGAGAAAGGTAAGTTAGTGTACTCACTTCTGAAGTCTAAATACTGAAAGTCAGTGGACTCTCTGGCTCTGCTATCTTCTTTACATACAGTATACTTTCTCCTGACCCTGCAGGAAAGGGATCTTATGACACTTTGGATTTTGTGGCTATTAGGAGCTCCCCCTAACATGGTGACTTTTGACTTTCATTTCAGCCGTTGGAGACACAGTTGCAGAAGATGAAGTGGTTTGTGAGATTGAAACTGACAAGGTGGGCTTGCACTATATTAGTGCTAATTTTTCATGTTCTGTTTTATTAATGCAGGAAACAGGGACTTAAAGAAAATTTTTACCTGACTTTCACTTGTGTTGTAAAAGTGTTGGAATAGCCCATTACAAAGAAAGGAAAAACTTTACAAGCTAAATTTTAGACCTATCTATACGTCTGTTAATAGCTTTTGTTTTGTAGCTTTTTCCCCCCTTGGTGCATGAACTGTTTCCACTTTTTTTATCTGCCACTTGGCAACACATTAGCTGAATATTTAATGTTCCTGAGAAAGGACAGAAAGAGTGAATCTTCACAATCACGTTGATTTGTCATTATTCTCAAACTACAAATGCGTAAGACTGTACGTAGAGTCTTTCATATCTGTTGTAGTGCTTGTGACTTATGTTTGTGACTTTATACAATTTTCTAATGCTGAGTTGAAAAATGGACTCTCCATTGGCTTTTTCTTCCAGACATCTGTGCAGGTGCCATCACCTGCAAATGGTGTGATTGAGGCTCTTTTGGTACCTGATGGAGGAAAAGTAGAAGGAGGCACTCCTCTTTTCACACTCAGGAAAACTGGCGGTAAAGAAGTTCTCCTGGTTGTCAAGGTCTCCAGTGTTTCAGAATTGGGGCTGAAGCACAATGTGCTAATTTATGGATATCTCAAGACTATTTGGCATATCAGCTGCCCTTAGTTTAGGGAACATGAGATGGGGGTGACATTTATACAGTGTGGATATTAAATATCAAGTTGTGTAAGTAAAGGGTATTAAACCTTTTCAGACTCTGTTCTTTCAGTATATGTTTATTATACTGGAACTTTTCTTGAAACTGTTAAAGAAATGAAAAGTTTCTAGATGGTGATTTTTTTCCCTTCACAGTGCTAATCACATGGGTGTCTTAAAAATAAAACAAACTACCTAGACTCCATGTCCCACGTTCTGACATATTGTTATCTGTCAAAAAAAGTCTTTAAGATTTATTTATTTATGCATACAAGGACTGGGGTGTAGGTAAAAGGTGCGGGGTAGGAGGCAGTGGTGAGATGATTCATTAGAGACAGATCAGGCTGCAGAACAGGTGGATCCACTGAAATACACTGCTGTGGGGAGCAGCGGGCTAGACAAGAGAGGTCCAATGCACCATGTGGGCTAGCCCCTGGCAGTAGCTGGTGATAGCTTGATAGTGCTGTGTCTTTAACCACTGTGCCACCAGGGAGGGCTCTCTGTCAAAATTTCTTAAAGAAAATTCTCCCAAATAATTCTGATACCTAGCCAGGACTTTGCCATTGTTTTAAAACAAGAAGATGCACATTTCATAGTATCTGTTACAGAGAGTTTAGTTTTTTTCACATCTATTCTCCCAGGGTGGTGGGTTGGGTTATTTCTCTTGGGAAGAAATGAAAAATAAGGAAATGAATTTGTATTGGACCTCATTGTTAATATTAAAGATAAAAGAATCTCTGATTTCTCTAATTCTTAGTTAAATTCTAACTCTAGGCCCTCCCTGGTGGCGCAGCGGGTTAAAGCACAGCACTGAAGAAGCTAAGCCACTTCCACATGAGTTCAGTTCCCGCCTGCCCCGGTGGTAGACCTCTCCTGACCCACCCGCTGCTCCCCTCAGCAGTGTACTTCGTCAGTCTGCCTGTTCTGTTCCCCACTCTGTCTCTGGTGAAGCCTCTCGCCACCCCTGAGCCTCTGGCCTGTACCCCAGTTCTGTATGCACAAATCTTTAAAAAAAAAAAATTCTAACTCTAAAGTTGATATTTTTGCTCATTTTTAAAATAATTGATGTGGTAGATTACATCATTGAGATTGAGCAGGACTAGACCAAAGAATATTCAGTAGAAGACTAGGGAGAAAAGATCAGTTCTTCGATAGAAGAATTCCATTGTCTGATAAATCCTTAAAAAAGTGTTCTAATTTAAATTTAAAACTAGATCTGATATTCAGATCGGTAACATCAAACACATTTAGTTTTAAGTTATTTTTTTATTTACCTGACTACCTCATTGGTTTATGAATCATCCTACATAAATATTTTGAACTCTTAAGCCTGAATGAGTGCTTGATTACTTAAATTTTTAGTTTTTAATACTTATGAGTAGGTGAGACTATTAATATTATCACAATTATAAATGTTACCTTTATGTATATATTTCAACATCTTAAATTGTCTGAGTTTCCATTACTTGGAGTTGACATTTCCATGGGTCTAGTAGGTTATTTGCAAGTACTTTGTTAATTTAATGACTGATAGATATTTGTGAACTCAGCAAGGCAGCCAAATTACTCATTGAAACTCTGCATCCCTAGGGAATAGTAGAATAATGATCTTATGTCATTGTGTGTATAGGTAGTAAATGACCAGTGAACATTTGTTTTGGTTGGAGGGACAGCTTTTGCTGTTAAATTCTCATTTGGTCGCTTTCCATTCCAGACAGTGTAAATGGAGTCTTGTTCTTGTTTTTTAGCTGCTCCTGCTAAGGCCAAGCCAGCTGAAGCACCTGCTGCTGCACCCCCAAAACCAGAGCCTACGCCATCAGCAGTTCCTCCACCCCCTGCAGTATCCATACCCACTCAAATGCCACCGGTGCCCTCGCCCTCACAACCCCCTGCTAGCAAACCAGGTAAGCCTCTACCTCCCATGTGTCTTCTTGTGGGAGAACAGCATCTCATATGATGTCAAGTTCCCTCACAGGGCAAAGTTTGAGACTAATCATGTTTCTGAATAGTCTTCATTGGCTGTTTACTAGAAAGAACTCTAGACTTTGTATCAGAGACCTGGGTTTGCGTCCAAGCTTTCTGTTTACAGCTGTGCCACATAAGCCTAGTAACTAATGTTAGCAGATTGTTCATTTGTAAACTGGGAGTAGCTTGGTGATGAGGTGGTGGTTTAGTGTGAAAGCACTGTCAGGTACTCAAAACATTTATTGTTTCTCTCATTTTCTGATACAGCTGTACTGTCTTACCTCTTCATTTTCAGTGTCTGCAGTAAAACCCACTGCTGCCCCTCTAGTAGCTGAGCCAGGAGTTGGCAAAGGTCTGCGTTCAGAACATCGGGTAAGCCTTTAAGGACTACTTCCAGGAAGGGCAGAGGCGCCAGTGTTGAGACTCGTGGGCTGTAGGTATGGTAGTTCCTACCTACTGGCAGCTCATTCCCATGGCCTTGACAAGGAAGGTGTGTTGAAAAAGTGATTTGTTCACAGTCAAATAACTGTCAAAGGATAGGACTATACCTTGAGGGCTTCTGAACATTTGTCCAGTGGTTTTTCCCACTATACCATGCTACCACTGCAGTACCTCATTTGCAGGGGATGGTAACTTAGTAACACACCCCCTCATTCCCACAAGAACTCAGCACTTCAGAGAGGTGGTTTGGTGAGTTCTGTTCCTTTACTTCTGGGATACTTAGCTGAGGGCTACCCAGTAGTAGTAGCTGTCAGGGACAGACATAAAACTTCAAGGAAGTATGATCAAGAGTATGGTTCCTCTGCCTGAGAATAGCTCCTAAAAATACTATTGCATTAGCTGTTTATTGCTTGTGAGTTTCCATTCTACAACATTGTGCTAGACTTTTTTTTTTTTTAGATTTATTTATTTATTCATACAGAACTGGGGTACAGGCCAGAGTTGCAGGGGCAGTGAGAGGATTCACCAGAGACAGAGTGGGGGGCAGAACAGGCAGATCAACGAAGTACACTGCTGAGGGGAGCAGTGGGTGGGTCAGGAGAAGTCTGCCGCACCATGTGGTTACCTCCCGGGCAGACAGGGATCGAATTCATGCAGAAGTGGCTTTCGATTCTTAGTGCTACGCTTTAACCCGCTGTGCCACCAGGGAGGGCCCATTGTGTTAGACTTTTATCACCATAAATTGCCCTTTCTGTATTGATTCTTGGGCTTGCTAGCCAGAAACCACATTCTTCTTTTCATAAATTGGTTTTGGTTTTTAAATCAGACCATTTCCTGGGCTTCCATTCTTGGTCAGACTTCACACGCATCTGAGTTAGCTTTGGTCTTTTTCCTCATTCTTGCGCAGAGGGGCAAGGCCACCATAAAAAAGAGGGATTCTGGAGCTTTTGTACTTACATGCTGTAGTCATTAACTATCTGCCCCTGGTAAGCTGAGTGCTCTTTTTGGCTAAATGGGAAGTGCTTGACTCAAAGAGATCAGATTGTCATTACTTGTCCCACTTTCACTTTCAGGAGAAAATGAACAGGATGCGGCAGCGCATTGCTCAGCGTCTGAAAGAGGCCCAAAATACGTGTGCAATGCTGACTACTTTCAACGAGATTGACATGAGGTGAGGGCTCTAGTCCTCTTACTCCCAGGACATGTTTCGTGGAGAACACTTGCCCTGTCCCTCCCTAGTAGTTCTGATCGCTTCACTCATTTAACAGAGAAGAGTAACGTCTTTGCATGGCTCGTTGATTTACACAGAATGGTCCACTGGTTTCAGTCTGATTAACTTTTCTCATACTATGCCTGCCTCCTTTGCATCTTAAAAACTTAATCTTCTAGCCTGTGTTTTGTAATTTCTGATAAACAAGGCTGATGACAATCTGAAATTCTGAGAACTAGTGCCGAGCTGCCAAGTAGAGGTAGGGCGACCAGGCTGACAAGGCTGGTTCCGGGGCCTCCAGCTGGGGATGGAGAGGCACTTGGCAGCTTGCCCAGAGCAGGACCCTGGTAGCCACACCCTGCTGTTCAGTTACTGCTCCTTATGTTGTTCCTCAGTGACTCAGAATTAGGTAGGTGAAAAGGCATAGCTTGTCATAACTTTAAATTCCTCTAGCTTTGATGGGGAAAGGAAAGCAAGTTGTGTTTTTAAATAAAAACCTCAGAATGTTTAAAAAGGTTAATTCAGTATACCTGTTTCTGTAGTGAGCTAATTGTTGGCTCACTTATTTTGAAGTTTACAAGTATAGAGAAGTTTACACTGTAGAGAAGAGCTGTTAGTTAAATTTAACAAACTCTTTGTTACTGTTTACTGTATACAAGAGCCACATATTTGGAGATTACTTTATTTGAGGGGACACAAAGATGAATGAAAGAACCCCGACACATAAACCCATTTGTTTTTTGTTTTTTTTTTTAAAGATTTATTTTTGCATAAATCTGTTGTTAAAGATTTATTCTGGCTGGGGTACAGGCCAGAGGCTCAGGAACAGTGAGAGTATTCACCAGAGACAGAGTGGGGAGCAGAACAGGCAGATTGACAAAGTACACTGCTGAGGGGAGCAGCGGGCGGGTCAGGAGAGGTCTGCCACACCATGTGGGTCAGCTCCCTAGCCAGGGATTGAACCCATGGTGCAGTGATAGCATCATTGTGCTCTGCTTTAATCCGTTGTGCCACCAGGATGTGCCCACTCCCATATGGTTTGAATAGACACAAAGTAAAATCTAGAAAAAATAGTATGGCATGGAGAAATGAATGAGATCATTTAGTTTTAAGGCGGGGGGGGGGGTTACAAAGGTTGGGAGGGCAGGGTCAGGAAAGGTTACCTGAAGTAGGGATTTTTTAATAGCCATTAAAGAACCCCTAGCATTTTGACACATGTAGTGTTGTAAAGAATGGTCTTTTCAGACAGTATTTGCAGTATGGGCCTGGACATTGTTTATGCTTTAAAAAAAATTTTTTTTCCCCATGGTTTTAGTGTAGCTAGCTAGAAATCTTCTGATCCAGGGGAAAGATGTTGGGTGCTCTGTGATATTTTGTTTGAATTGTAAGTCACTGAAATCTATGACAGGAAAGCACAGGATGCATTTGAGAAACATTTCTGTAAGAAAATATGTGTAGGAAAGAATAGTAAAGTTGGATTATAGTTCAGAATGTTCTGAACTCTGGGGTAAAAGTTTACATTTAATTCAGGAAGTAAGTCATCACATTTTCAGGTCATGTATTCTTTGTCCTAAGTGTTTAATCTGCTAATGTACATTTCATTAGGGAAATGTTTCCCTTTGTAAAGGGTCTGAAAAGTAGAGAAAAGGGAGTGGTTTGCTGGTAGTGTGCTGTGTAGCAGTGTTGAAGAGTAACACTCTGCTCTGGTTCACCGGACATCATCCATTCTGTTGTGAAGCTTGCTGGAAAAGACTGGATGTCATTTAAGTCCAAAGATTTGTGTCCTCTCTGGAGGATGTAAGAAAGGGCCTCACTAATGAATCACAGAGTCTGCAGCTTATGTTTCAGTGCATTAGGACCAAATTGTACACAAATTGAATTGGACTTAGAAATTCTACCCAATTTCTTAAGACAAAACATGTAAATATTTGTGGCCTTGCAAGATGTAGTTGGCCCAACAGCTTTGATTGGATGGTAAGTGCCGCAGCTGGATCTCCTTTCAACAGCTAATCGAGGTGTCACTTAACAGTGGCCTGGGTCTCTGCACGTGGTAATCTGGTTTAGATCGAGTGCCCTTTGGGTCTTGTGCTGATCAGCTAAACCATAAGGGACTTTCTGAGACCACCTTCTCTCCCCTGTTGTCCCAGCCTCACCCTCCAAGGGCAGAGCTCTGAAATAGAAACTACTTAATGACCAGACAATAGCATTTGCACAGGTTTGAGAGCAGAGATATTTATCACTTTTCTTTCCCTCTTCTGCAGCTCTTGTGTCTTGGGAACCAATAATGTCTTTAGGGTGGTAATCCTAGTACTAAATAAGGTTAGACTCAGGAAAACAAACATTTTAAACCCACTCAGTTCCCTTAGGAAAACTATTTTTTTCAAAAACAAAAGGCCTAAAGGAAGGAATTAAAGTTGTATCATCTTATCTTTCATGCTAATATCGAATTAGGCTATTATAGAGAGAAGGAGTGAGCATTTGGGCCTGAGATTAAGTTAAATGTGATTTCCACCGCAAAACTGTGATCTCATAAATACTGGGTTTCTACAATAAAATGCTGGGGAAGCCATTTCCCACTAACTCAGCATAGTGCATGTGGTATGCATGTGGAAAACCAGCCTTGAAGGAACAAATGCTGTTCACATTTCAAAGGCTTCTCAGAGGTCCTGTTGCTTGTACTTTAAAAGTTTAGGTTCACACTTGGTCACTTTTCTAAGCACAAATGAAACCAGCCATTAAACTACTATTAAGGGCAGGAACTGTTTCTGAAGGTCTCTGGCCAGGATTGACCCTCATGTTTGGTGGGACAACAGAGGGAACAGCTGACCATGGGAAGATGAACACTTCTCCATGTACCTGAACCGCTTGGATTCTAGTAGCTTTGATTCATTAACTGGGAGATAGGAATGTCGTAAGGAAGTCATAATCAAATTTGGTGTTTTGCTTCTTTGAACATAATTCTAACAAATAAAAAGAATATTACCTGACTTTGTGGACATTGTTTATGCTTTAAAAAAATTTTCCCCCAGGGTTTTAGTGTAGCTAGCTAGAAATCTTTTCCTTATCCAGGGGAAGGATGTTGGATTCTATGTGTATCTTGTTTGAATTATATGTCACTGATAATGTGTGACTTCTGGAACACTAAGGAGCCCTTCCTGTCAAGGGCTTAGTTGACCTTAAAGACACAATAGAGTTGATTCCTTCCTATTCATGTTTTGTGAAGGAACAAGGTTATCGTGTTGACTGCTAGTGGACTATTTCAAAATTTGAACTTAGGTAGATGGTGCAGAGTAAAGGGGAAAAGCTTACCCAATTGTGTACATGGAGTTAGAAACCAGTATGAAAGCCAAAATTGAGGCTTCATTTGTGGTCATTTTGTCTTGTAATATGTTTCTGCAGTAACATCCAGGAGATGAGAGCTCGGCACAAAGATGGTTTTCTGAAGAAGCATAACCTCAAACTAGGCTTCATGTCAGCATTTGTGAAGGCCTCAGCATATGCCTTGCAGGAGCAACCTGTTGTAAATGCAGGTGAGTTCATGATGGCCAGAATTGTAGAGGTTCGTTCTAGCAGATATGTGTAGGAACCGAGACCTGTTCCCACACACACAAGGATGGCAGTCAGCAGACCAGCACTTTTTACTTCCTACTTGTAAAGTCCCCAGAACTTCTTGACTCACCATCCCAAATTGACATCTTGATTACTCTGTCCCCCACTATCTGTACAGAACAGTTTCTTCCTAATGTATAGCTTGGCAGCAGCCTTGGGAATCAACAGTTGTGAGCCAGCCCCACTCCAGGCTTCTCAGGTCAGGGAGGAAGCTCACATTCCCTAGCGCCCGCCCTCTCAGGGGCCCTGTTATCTTGGGGCCTGACTTCCACCCTTGGCATTGCTCCAGGGTGACCTTTGATTTCTGGTCGATAGGCTTCCATTGGGAGGCCTTGGGCTTGGTCCCTATTTATGAACTTGATGCTCATTTTTCTTTTTACTCACCTGCGTCATTGAAATGTTGACCTAGTAAGCAGTTCACTTTCCTATTGAGACACTTCTTTGTTCTTGGAAGATTGGAGAGGGGACAGTGACTCTTAGGCAATCCTCAACAGTGCCAGGGTCTCTAAGAAATCTAGAAATTGTGGCCCTAGTTCTATCCGTTGAGTGATAATGCTCTAAATGACGAAGAATAGGAGTCTGCCTAAATGTAGATCTGTTTGTTCAGTTCTTTTCGTGCTTCCTGACTAACTCCCATCTCTTTCATGGACTCTTTTCTTCTGTCTGCCTGTTCATGTAAGCATTTCTCAGAGTTCTCTCCATGTAACTTAATCTCCAGTAACTTTCTCAGAGTTCCTTTCCATGTTCTTTCTGGGTACCTTATCTAACAATACAACATGAACTTTCTGTGGAAAAGATTTCCAGGCCTGTGTTTTCTCATAAGCACTAGATGGAAGTTTTTATATCATTTTTTCAAAGATTGATTTATGCATATAAGAACTGGGGTACAGGCGAGAGGTGCAGGGGGTGAGAGGATTTTCCAGAGAGAGTGGGGTGCAGAACAGGCAGATTGACTGAAATACATTGCTGAAGGTGGCTCAGGAAAGGTCTGCCATGCCCTGTGGGTCACCTCCCTGGCCGGGAATCGAACTCGTGCTGCAGTGGCTGCAGATTTCCTCATAGTGCTGTGCTTTAACCTGTTGCACCACCAAGGAGGGCCCTTGGTTTAAGTTTTCATCTATTGGCTTACTGTCACAAGCTAACTCTTTAAAGACAGACCACCCTGCCTCCTCCTGAGTCTTCAAAAAAGGCTTTATCTCTCAAGAATGGGCAATACCTCCTTTTCTTTGCAAATGTACTTTTTAGGGAGGGAGGAGTAGAGCTAGTTAATAAGAAGTTGGTCCATGCATACCTTACTTGAGTTGGTGTTTTGAGCCCTTCTGCTCATTGCCCAAGAAATAATTACTCCTCTGCTCAGGGTTCTCTGGAGACACTGTGGTGGTTGCACTGGTTGTCTTGCTGGTTGCTTAGTCACACTGCAAGGCTTTCACTCTGCCAGTAATGCAAGTAATACCTCAACAGCCTGGGCCTGGAGAGTTGTGTGTAACATGTGTTTTCTCTCTTGCAGTGATTGACGATGCAACCAAAGAAGTGGTGTACAGGGATTATATTGACATCAGTGTTGCGGTGGCCACCCCAAGGGTATGTTGAGCCAAGAGGTAGAGCTCTGTTTTTAGACTTACACATTAACTCTGTATGAAAAAGCAGATTTCTGGGAAGATCATTTTTTATAATTCTGCCTATTTTGAAGGGAGTTAGTAAAAGGGTGCCCTGCTTTTGACTACATATTTTCATTTTGATGTCATACCTAAATATTTTTATACTTTTTGTTAATCACATTAAATAATTACTCTGGGGAGGGCACACCATTGCTTAAATTAAGGGAGGTGTAACTTTAAAAGGGACTAGTAATTTGCAGTTGTAAACAGCTTTTGACTCTCTTCAGGGTTTGGTGGTTCCTGTCATCAGGAATGTAGAAGTTATGAACTACGCAGATATTGAGAAAACCATTAGTGAACTGGGAGAGAAGGTAAAGTAGGAAGCAGCATGTCCAAGCTGCTGGGCAAGTCGGGGAGCAGCCTGGGTGCGCTCAGGGGGTTGGGGTCTCCCTTTGTTCTGTAAGGAGTGCAGAGCCCCTCACAGCATACTTAACCCACTAGCTAACTGGCAGGCGTAGCATCCTCTCCTGACTGAAGGGCTCATCAGGTGAGACCTGTTGGGGAAAGACAGGGTCCCGAAGTCTTGACTGTGGCATCAGTTCTTTCGCCTGATGGAGCAGTAGTCACGTCTCTCCCGACCAGCTTCCATGTTGAAACTTGAACTTGGATTATTGATCACAGATAGAGCCTTCTGGTCTTAACTTGGGATATAGAAAGTTGGGTTGGAGGGCCTTTCTGGTGGCATAGGGGTTAAGTCTCAGTGCTGTCACCCGTCTTGCCCGAGTTTGATCCCCAGGCAGGGAGCTAACCCAGGATGGTGCAGCAGACTTCTCCTGTTTCACCCACTGCTCTTAGCAGTGTATTTCAGTAAAATCTACTCCTCACTCTGTTTCTAGTGAGTCCTCTCACACGCATCCCCTCTCTGTACCTCTGGTTTACACCCCAGTTCTTCTAAATATATAAATACTTAAAAGAAAGCTGTGTTGGCCTTACATTCAATTATTAAATTCTCTTGGTTTTAGGCCCGGAAGAATGAACTGGCCATAGAAGATATGGATGGTGGGACTTTCACCATTAGCAACGGAGGCGTTTTTGGCTCACTCTTTGGAACACCCATCATCAACCCCCCTCAGTCTGCCATCTTGGGCATGCATGGCATCTTTGACAGGCCGGTGGCTGTGGGAGGCAAGGTAGGAACCATCTCTTTGTTGTCTTAATAGCTAGATGCTAAAAAATAGAGGGACTCTAAATGCTAATTACTCAAGATTTACTGCAATGTCAGGTGTAAGTTTCACCTCCTGTTTCTAAACTAATACCTAAGGCACTGTTCTCAAATTGATGTGTGGGTCAGAATTATTGGCATCATCTGGGAACATGTTAAAAATCAGGTTCTTGGGCCCCATCTCAAACTTGTTGAAGCAAAAACCACAGCTGATTCTGATGGGCACTAAAGTTTGAGAGCCGCTGAGCTAAGGAAGAGGCTGGTTTTGGCTCCTTCATCTGTACCAGGTGACAAGCTCTTGGTGCTGTGGGAAGCGGAATATGGTTGGCGCCATGGTCCTCGACCCTGGGAAGGAACAGTGTGGAGCAGGCTGTGCTGCCAGGTTGTCTGATGAGACGTGGCGGCTCTCTGGGCATTCAGAAAATGAGGTCACAGGGTCTAGAGCCCTTGGAAGATGTTGGTAGGGAAACATTCTCTGGGATGCTTGTGTTTAGAACCTTTTTTGGGTCACTTACTCCTTGGTGAATCTGAAAGGCCTAGATAAATTTCCCCCCAAAATCCTCACATACCCAGCTTACATCCAATTTGAGAGACTTTATGGATACCAGGTTAAAAGAACCTTTAAAACTATAATGCTGAAAAAAGGAACTAGGGCCCCTAGGCTGAAGGGAACTGTTCGTGTAAGCAGTGGATGACTAGGAGGATAACATGATAACACAGACCACACAATGGTAAGGAGACTCCTGTTTTCTTAATTGAGCTTTTGTTTCTGACTGGAGGTACTTCGCACTAAAAGGTCAGGTAAGGTTTGGCTGGTCTTTGAAAGCGTTGAAAGTGTCCAGAAGTGATATTAATAGGAAAGGCTCTGGAACTGGGAACTTGCCAGTGGGCTGTGCTTTCTCTGTCCCCTCAGTGGGAATTCTCTGCCCTGCTGTAGACAGACCTGTCACCCTTTCTTTTCTGTAGGTGGAGGTGCGGCCCATGATGTATGTGGCACTGACCTATGATCATCGGCTGATTGACGGCAGAGAGGCTGTGACTTTCCTCCGCAAAATCAAGGCAGCGGTAGAGGATCCCAGAGTCCTCCTGTTGGACCTTTAGGAGGAACCACATGCCCTACGCATTGACCATGCAGGAACTGAAAACCAGTCTTCTCCCTGCCCCCTCATGGGTCCTGGGTTAGCCTGGTGATAGACAGGCACATGCTGTTGGCATCAAGCAAGGAAGCCAGGGCTCTATGTAACCAGCAGTTGCAGGTCCTTCTTGGTGTTCCTGACAGGCTCTCTTCCTCTCTGCACCCATCATGCACTCAATGTCTTGCTTCCCTAGGCTTCAGTGTGGGGGGGATAGAGAGAGAGAGAGAGAGAGAGCCTCAGTGGATGCTCGTTAATAACTCCTGCCTTTCTTCCGTCAGCCCTCCCTCTGCAGAGGTGATTTTGCTTTTCCCCTGTGCCAGTACACTATAGGGAAACCATCAGGGACCATGTGAGTTTCTGTCTTTTAAGAGTCTGTTCTCCAGAGACACCTCGGAAGGTGCCGTGCTCCCAAGCTAGAGCTGCCTCGTCCTGGCTGTGCACGTACTCACTTGGTTCCACTTGAGTGGAGGTTTTGACTACAGGCCAAGAGGTGCTTTGCTTCTTCAATGGCACCTTCATTCCCAGCTGTCACTGACTTCAACATGCCTCTTCTACCTCTTCCAGGGAGCACAGGCCCGGGGACCTGGGTGGGAGCAGGGTAGGCTCTGTTGAGGAGAGTGGCGGATAACTGATAACTCCTTACCTGAGGCTGTATAAGCAAGACCTGAGCGGAATCAGACCTGTTGTTCTGCTCTGCCATAGCCTCACACCAGGAAGACCACAGGCACAGTCGCACATAGCTTCCAGGCTGCTAGCAACCATTCTAGCTCATTGTTCTCATTTAGAGCAGATTGTAGCACATTGTGGCAGTGGGAAAGCGTAGTCACAGCCTAGGGCTGGGGCGAGGTAGACACTGGGGTGAGGGAAGCTCCCTGTGAACTGGCTCAGATTGACTTGAGCTTTTTAAATTCTGTTGGTATAAGCATGTGAACTGAAGAGGCAGTTCTGCTCCTTCCTGCATTGTGGCCCTTAGGGAGCAGGCCTTTGCGCTTCTTCTGCGGAACACAGATAGGGGAGGATGGACTGCAGGAAACCAGCCCCAGGATGTTAGTACATGGTGGAGAAATGGCTGACCTGTCAGTCTGGGCACAATCATTGGACTTCTTGGAGCATGGTTGAACATATACCAGCTGAGAGGAATTGGGCTTCGTCACCTTGTACCCAGCTACACAGGCCGAGCTGCTGACACCTGGCACAGGGAGCCATTTCCGTGCAGAGTGCCCTTTGTATCTGCAACAAAGGAGCGAGACCTGGGGGCGGGGTGGGGGAAAGGGATGGGAGCCAAAACTGAGTGCCTGCAGCATCTGCTCTGTCTTCACTATTCAGAACTCATAACTAAATATTTAAAGAAACTGATTTTAAATGCAAATTAAAGGGCAAATATTCTCAAACTGGGTTTCTGATTCTGCCGTCCTTTGGTTACTGAGTTTGTACAAGTTTCCAGTACTTGATTGTGCAGTCCCCTTGTGCCTGCTATCCCAGACTTTAGGCAGAGGTGGGACTCTTACCTACCACCTGGGAAAGCATCCTGGATTTTTTTCAGCCCCTTGAATGAGCAAGCTGTACTGTTGAGAAATTGGCTCTTACCTTTGTGAAGCCCCTTCAGAATACCAGCAGATACTTGGTTTTTGTGGGAGCTTTGAGTTATTTATGGATGGACTGGGTGAGTTGGGGCCTACCAGGTATGCATCCTCAGTGCTACATGTATATTAAGGTTTTTTTTTCCAGGTCACTACAGACACCAGGGTAGATCACATAGAAGTTAAGTCTGTGAGTGAACAGAAGAAGGCGCTAATGTAGCTTAACTACAGGTGACTCGCATGGTGGTCTCCAGGCTTAAACACAGCCCAGTCTTGCTAGCATTGTTGCCATTTCTGAAGGTATGTCAGAATGAAGTGACTGCAGAGGATAGAACTAGTAGGTGGAAGAAACAGGTTCAGTGAAAAGAGTTTTTAAATCATTAGGTCCAAGGAATGGTGCACTTTAATTTCTCTAATAAACCTACAGAGATTTTTTTTTTTT